TGTTGGTCAATTCATCATTGCCATTTTTCTTCCAGAACTGCATCACAAATGGTTCTGATATTTTGGGTCATTATTCTTTGTAACAACCACTGACTTATGTCATGAACTCAATTAACATGTTTTATAAATATTGCACATTTTTTCTGCATTCAGGTTGTTAACAAAGAGGTAGTGTCCCAAAACTACATTCACAGAAGCATTCCCAAACATGGACTTTTATTGGATGTTTGACAGTACACTGAACAGCTCTGTTACTTGATGTTGACCAGGCTCTTTTAAGTGGATTCCATATCCAGAAAGATGCTTCATGTATGAAGTACATTACTCCAATCATGGCCCTTATTTTCCCATGTCACTTGTTTTTCAGCATTCTTTTCTGACAAAAGCAGTTTCTGTATAGTGGACTGGTATTTAAGACTTTTTTCATGTATATGACATCTAATTGTATTTATTCCAATGTCTATTCTCTTGTTACAAAACAAAACTTGGTCTTTGCGAAATGTTAAACTTGGACATCATTCATAAAGCTGGTAGATCACTTTGTCTTACTTTCTTGTCATCAAACAATTTGATTCTCTCTCTAGCAAGTCATCCACATTTTTAACCTCCTTACATTGACTTACTCACTCCTCCATGAAAGAATTTGATTTTTTAATTGATTTTGCAGCTGCTGTGACTGATAGTTTTGGTCCTTTTTAGTGGGTAACTAAAAACATTGCTTTGCAATGCTTTTAAGTATTTTGTGCTCATTTTGAAAATGTCTGTTTCAAACAACATCAATGTTTCATATACCAGTTAAATTGGTACTACTCAATAGAGCACATTTTAAAGATTCTAACCACATTAAACAGATGTCACTACAATTATTTTTCTCAGTTTTGCTATACATAGTTCTGTGGAATTTACTGTAAATGGAAAGATTGGACATTCTAGTGTTAAAGTTGGTTAATAAGTGGTTAGGGAGGTGAAAGTTATGCTCTGCTCTTAGCATTATGATTTTTTTTTACATTTTCTTTTGCAAAGATTTCATATGCTGTTGCTATTTCTATGTCTGAATATTTATCTTATTCAGAATAAGCTAGATACATATACCCTTTATTGCAAATCTAGGGGATACATATAAGATCATATAACTTACATATATTAAATAACTTTACTTATATAAAAATATCATTTTAGGAGAGAATTTGAAATAAATTTATAACATATAGTTATTATAATAATCAGAATACTTTCCTCAAATTTTACTATTTTCTTTTTTAGTCGTTTATTTGGATTTTTAAAACTTGGAATTCCTGAAAATGCTAAGAAAAAACTTTTAGTATTAAAGGTAAGATTTTCTTTAATATTTTAAAATTACAGCTGTTCCTTGATAGTTCGATGTTTTGTAATCTGACATGCTCAGTAATCCGACGCACCTCTCGTCAAGGTGCCCGTCCCCATTACGTATCTACTTGCACAGAAGCATGTTGCGACATGAATGTTCCCACCCAATTCTTACACGATGACACACATTTCATGTGTTTTCCTTGAGCAGTTCTGTTTGAACAGTTGGAGTAGGGAATATTGTAGGCTACTGCTAGAAAAACAATGCCAAATATGTAATCACTTTCGGTAATCCGGACACTTTTGGTAATCCGACATCCCTTTGGTCCCATACCTGTCGGATTATCAAGGGACAGCTGTACTTAACATAAAAGGTAATGAAACTAGTCAATAAATAAGTAAATTCTGCTAATTTTCTTTTATTTAATAAAAAGTTGAATTCCTGAACTAGCAGAATTTACTTGAAATTTATTTTTTATGATATGTTTTGTGTTGTTATTTTTATTTTTTTTCCCCATACAGATTGATTTAATGCAATAGTATTATTTAATTCTTCTTTATAAAAACCTAAATATATAATATTTTTTAGGCTGTGAAATGTATAGAAAAGACTCTTGTTCAGCATCAGCAGTTGAAAGAAAAGAAATTACTGTTAACACAAAAACAGTCAGGTGACAAAAATGGAGATTCTCAGTCAGCAATATCTGATCAAAATAGAGATAAAGGAAATGAAACTATTGAAATAAAGGAATTTTCTCCTAAAATATATTGTCAGCTTGGTCATTATAATTTACTTTTAGAAGAATATGCAAAAGGTAAACCTAAAATGTGTTAATTATAAAGTTTTAATATTTTAAACTGATATGTACAGTTTTAAATATAAATCTGAAAATTAAGTTAATAGCAATGTATTTGACATTTTGCTTTGTACTTTTTTTGAAAATATTATTAACACTTACTTTGTTTTAGAGATTTAACCATTACTGATTCAATACAGATATGTCAGCATATTGAAATGTTCTCAATATATAGGAAAACTGGTTCATTTTACAAACTAATATTCTGATTTGTTATTCATTTTTTTAATATATAGGTAGCCCTTGGTTTACGCCGTAGTTCCGTTCCTACAAAAGCCGGCACAAATCGAATCGGTGTAAAACGAACCCATATTTACAGTGAGGTATAGGGTTAGGTTCTACATAAGTGAAAAATAAGCTAATAATTTTGTTTATTAATACAATATAATACAAAATACATATAAATTTTTAATTTTTAAAATGTATTTTATCATAAAATAAAGTAAAATGTTTTTATTTAAAAATTTTAGTTTCGAATTTCTTACATTTTTCGGAAAAANAAATGTATTTTATCATAAAATAAAGTAAAATGTTTTTATTTAAAAATTTTAGTTTCGAATTTCTTACATTTTTCGGAAAAAAGTATCCATCTTTAATTATTTACATTTTTGATTTCTTTCATTAAAAATTTCGGAATATGGTCAAATATGATGCTCCTTTTTACATTTGCACTTTGCTCCCAACATTGTCTAACTCACAAACTTCATCCGTCAAACTTTCCTTAGTTGAAAGGATACGTTAACCCGATGTAGAGCTACGGAAGAGCGAAGACACTGATTGATTGACCACCGGTCGCCGTAGCGCATATATAAGGTCAGTTTGAGCGGCAAAATCCAAGGTGGCTAAGGAGAGATAGATATCATCTGGCCAACGAGAAGTAGATTTGTCTCACTAACGATAATTTGTGATCGCCGGAAGTGCTATTGTGTCGTAAGGTGTTTTCCTGAATGAACTGATATGGGATACATTAATTGGCGCTATGAATTCGGAAGCCATTTATTGGACTATTAAGTTTAATATCTTGACTCGTGGGTAGCTAAACGTAGTATTTTAATATTAATTTAATGCAAATGTTTATATGATGAAAGTTCTTGAAGATGGCCTATTGGAATTGGACTGAAAACGTTTGAATTGGAATTGGACTGAAAACGTTTGAAACGTTAGGTAATGAAATACCTAATAATATTAAACAGAAAAAATAAATATATTTAATAAAAATCTTTGTTTTAACGAATGTACAATGTTGCGGCTTGGTAAATACGTCATCACTGAAATGAAAATCAGTTTAGCATAGGGAAAATCGGGGAATTACACCTCAAAACGGGAAATTGCACAGCGGTGTTATTGTGAATCGGCATAAATTGAACCGGCATAAACCGAGGGCTACCTGTACATTCCTTGCATTTTTTTTTCATGACAGACATTTGAATATGATGATGACATATCATGATGTAAAAATAACCCCAAGATAAAACCAGTTCAAGGTGTCATTGGTGGAAAATCATGTGCAGAGAGGATATTCACTGCATCCTTTCTGCATATGATTTTCCACCAATGACTGCATAACATATAGTTTTGTTACTTTTGAAGGATGCCATCTTTATAGGAGATGATGTGTAGCAATAGGTGGGCAACAGATGATTATTGTTGCCAGGTCTAATGATTTATCTCCAGATTTGGCAATGTTTTAAGCCAGTTGACAATTTGACGACAATTTTTTCAATTTGGTAATTTTTCTATACTGTTATAAATTTATTCAAGGTGTGTTCAATTTTTTCCTAAAAATAGGACTGGAGTCAGACCTAGGCAAACTAGACAATTACAATTTCCTAGGACTCAGATCTTAAAACTGTCTTGATTAGTGAACAAGGTGAATATTCTCTAAACCAATGAGCTTTCAGGCTTTCATTTATTACTAACACCTATAGAAAGTATGGATAAAAGTGATTGGTTGGAAAATTATTAGTTTCATATTTTATTAGCAGAATTCAATATCATATCATCTCTAATTGTTTTATAAATATTCAGAATTTTATTAGTTATCATTTATCATGACTGACTGATATCAAAAAAAATATTTTTTAACTCAGTTGTGAGGCCTTTGTCAGTTGTAAAATATGCGATGGTCATATACAAAAATATTTGTATTTTCTATGGCATGACCTATTTCATGTATAAATGCAACAGATAACATACATAAGGTGCATCCCAAATAATTATTAACATAGTTTTTTAAAAATGTTAAAATTTTATGTTAACTAGATTTTAAAAAATGTTGTTTTTAATCATGTTTAATAAATGAATGAAATGGTACAAAGTTTATCTTCCATATTTTTTTTTAAATTAGCAGAAAGAAATCTTAAACTGTTTCAAAAAGTTATCAATTGTTTGTTAAAAATACTTTCTAGGAAAATATATGCACATCATATATATATATATACACACATATATATATAGTTCCTCTATAATCATATGAAAATATTTGACACATTTGAAGCATTGGAAAATTGTTGTTATGGGTAAAAAATATGATTTAAGTGATTGTGAAAAAGACAAAATTGATGCCTGGACAGTTGAAAGCATTTCCCAAAGTGAAATAGCTCTAGGATTAAATAGAGCTAAGTCATCAATAAGAAAATTTTTGCAGCAGTAAGGAAGTTCAACAGGAAAATCAAATTCTAGACAAAAAACAAAAGTGACTGCTTGACAATAAAGGATATGGTTTCTTTTGCCAATTTTTCAATTGGAAAAAAAATGTGTGTTTCAAAATCAATTGCTGATTGCATTTTGTTGAAATCTGGAAAAGCTAAATTCAAAAGAGCAAAGAGAAGACCTTATCTTAAATTACAACAAAAAGAGGCAAGGTTTACCTGAGCCAAAAATCATATTGCCAGGAAAAATATTAAACTTTTGGATTTGCCTGCATTAAGTCTCAACATAAATGCAATATAAATTTGTGGGAATCATTGTGAATCACATTTATAAGGATGGTCAACAATTTTCTAATGTTACAGACTTGAAAACTGCAATTCATGATGCTTGGAACATAATTTCTGAAAGAATTGAAAATTTAATTAAATGTATGAAATATTGGGTATTTAATTAATTTGGCAAGTTTATTTGTTACTAATTCTCATTTTTTATATGCATTTCACTTAATTCACTTCAGTTGATAATTTTTTGGACAAGGTAAGATTTTTTTCTGTCAATTTAAAGCAAAATATATGGAAGATACAACTTTGTAGCATTTAATTTGTGTAATAAGCATGATTAAAAACAACTTTGTTTTTCATCTAGATAAGATAACTGACAATATTTTTTAAAATTTCAAAACGTGTTGATAATTATTTGGAATGCATCTTACATACATACATATGTACATACATACATATATACATAGTATAGCATGTTACTCTAAATGTTAGATACAAAAAATGCAAACTTGCTCAGTTTTTAATGTGTTTATTTCAGTTTGAATTTGAGAGTTTTTACTAAGAACTAACTGGTATCATACAAAAAACAGCAAGTTTTATAAAATTTTTTATAAAGCAAGTTTTATAAAATTCAATACTATCTTAATTACATTTATGTTTTGTATTTATGTAATCTGAGCATTATTTCTGTTTGGCAAATGTGTTTATTGTAACATCCTCATTAAATATACACTTCTTGCAATATTACTTAAATTAAGTAATTAATATAAAGAATAAAAATTAATTAAAAAATTTTTCAGCTTTGTCTGCATACCAGAAATATCGTGCATTAGTAGAAGACCATTGGAAGGTAAGAGTTTTGTTTAAATTATTTGTTAGTAGTGTGGTATCAAGTTATTTAAAATATCTTTAGACTGCTTTGATTTGGATATTTATAATACCAGTATTTTAAAAAATACTGGTAATATTTAAAAAATGTAAAATGAATCATTGTTATTGTCTAAATTTTAATCTTTGACAAGTATAATTCATTTTTATTAGTATTTAACACTTGTCAATAATCCATATATACTAATAATTATTACTATTATTACAAATATAATGTGTATTTATAAAAAAAAGTACAATAATTAAATTTAGCTATGTTTTAGTGTTAAAAAATTTTTGCACTATAAATATCTGTATGGTGTAATGATTTTTCAATACATTGGAATCCAATTAATTTGAAATCTTTTATTTGAATGCATGTGTTTTTTTTATTACTTTCATACAGGAATTTAATGTTAATTTGATTTAATGAAAAATAGGTGTATTTTTTTAACTCAAATTGAAAATTCTGCATATAAGTTTTTGCATGTATTTATTGGTATATGCATGTATAATAAGCACCTGTAGAATAACATTGTGTATATTGACTGATAAACACATTATTCTGTATTGTGACATGACACTGATGATGTGTTTATTTGCTGACAAACACATTATCAGTTTCATTTGATCTCAACTGGTCAATGACAAATGTATCAGTCAACTTAGGAAAAATGCTAAGTGTCAGAGTGTTGAAATTGCAAGTTGTGTGAGGAAAAAATGGGCTCCACATGGAAGTATATTGATCAGCCATTTTCTGCAAAACTCAAAGGGAATTCTACAACTATTCTCACTTCCTCAGCTGTTTCTTTACAAATATAAACAAAACACCAAATGCTTGCTGAGCTTATTATTACTTTAATTTCAAACGTTTTCAGCCCAATTCCAATAGGCCATCTTCAAGAACTTATTATTCTACAATCGAATACAACTTTTGAATAAATTTTTTTTTTTTTCGAATTATTTGAAAAAAAATTTTTTGAATAATTTCGAAATATTTTGAAAATTTATTTGAAAGTTGTATTCGATTGTAGAATAATAAGTTCTTGAAGATGGCCTATTGGAATTGGACTGAAAACGTTTGAAATTAAAGTAATAATAAGCTCAGCAAGCGTTTGGTGTTTTGTTTATATTTGGAATTCTACAATTTGGGTACTGAATGTTATATTCTTAATCATCCTTGGGTCTCAACTGGCCCATGGGTGATTAAGAATTCTAATTCTGAGTTACACATGACACACAAGGAAATAGTAAAACACATCAATCTGAGCTTAGCATTTAAATGTAATCCTACAGTGTTTAGACTTAAGCAATGATAAGGTTCCACAAATTCCTGATTTGGGGATTTATTCCATACCCATCAAGGACCACCGTTTCTGCAGGAGGATGACATTATGAAGTGTGTAATGCCATAACATTGTAAATTCTATTTTTCTCTAATTATGTTTTATTGAAGAAATGAATTCTAAATGTAATGCTTTCTTCTGTAAAAAATATTGTATCAATAGTTGCACTGTAAGTGGCTATATTTTGAAGTTGAATTTATGTACAAGCCATAACATTTTAAGTGCCAAAGTGCAAGTCACATGACTTTTGGCACTTGAAACATTATAACTTAGATTTACATCATCATTTTGTTATTCCAGAAAATTTGTAACATATTGAGTTTTTTAGTATTTTATTGTGAAATTGAAATTCCTTCAAGACTTGAAGGAATTTATTTACTAGAAAGTTTTTTTTAATCTCCTGAAAAGTTTGTTTTTTGACATTTACAACATTTTGACATACATATTTCATATAGGTGCTACCTTACAAAACCTCTGGAAAGGATTAAGAAGCCAAATATGTTATTGTCAGGAGTCATAACAATATAGCTCTGTCATCATTTGCAAGCAAAAACAACAAGTTATCATGGGAAAATCTAAGATTACTGTATCAACCACTGATCTAAACAGCATAAAGTATATGGTGCAAATAAAAATCAACCTTAGTGACTCTAACATCAAATTTATTAAAATAAAAATGTCTTTGATCAGTTTGACTGAACATCTTCAGTTACTGAAACTTTAAAGAAAAGAACTTAAAATATATACAGTAGAGCATCGATTATCCGACTCAATTGAGGACTCAGGTTGGTTGGATAACTGAAAAAATCGGATAACCGAAAAGAATGAAAAAAATACATTTATTAGTATAGTATATTAGTATATCGCTATTAACCAACTTCGTGTTGAATTTTCATCTATGTTAAGCCTAACAAATTTTTTTTAAAATAATAATCGTTGCTATTGTATTGTTAAAAATTATTTTAAAATTATTTTATTGCTCACAAAACAAACCACTCATAATTAGAAAATTAAGTCTCATTTAAATACTGGCCTCCCTTCAATGGTCGAGCCAGTGTTGCCAGCTAAAACACGCAAAAATTTAACAAAAATAATATTAAAGTAGCTAAGACATAGCCAACTATTGTAGCGCCACATCACTAGCGGACATTTGAAATTTGCCAATTAGAACGGTCAGTTAACTGATGTGACTGTTAATCAGGGGTCAGATAATCAATGCTCTACTGTAATTTAAAAAATGGAACATAATGTTTGAATTTAAAAAAGGAACAAATTTCAAATCATTTTTTAAAAAATTGTATATCTCGAGTTTAGTTACTGAAACTTCAAAGAAAAGATGATCAGTCAAACTGATCGAAAATGTTTTTATCTTAAGTATGCTGCTGGATTTACAAAGATAGGTGTTTTTATTATAATAACAATAATAATAATAATAAGTCTGCTTCTCATGGTTTGATTGGTAATTTTGGCAGGTTAATGAAAACCAAGCCCTTGTTTTCTTATTGTTAATTGAGGAATCTGCGAGTGATGTGGCATGTTTGCAAAACAACAAACTTCTGTATATCTGATAGGTCAACAATTGGTGGCAGTTTCTTTAGATGTACAGTTAATGGTTTTGAAATTAGAGCTGTCACTGATATAATTATTGGTATTATAAATACTTCCTTATGCTTCCAAAGTTATTGAACTTTGTTTCTCAGTGATTGATATTTGAGAATTTTTGTTTGTTCTATTTTTTATAAGTTTTCAGTACAGTGGTACCTCAGGTTACGAACGCCCCAGCATACGAAATTTTCAGGATACGACATGAAATTCGAACATATTTTTGCTCCACGATACGAACAAAAACTCAC